AATGAACGCCTCGGCTGATGGCACCCCCGCTTCGGCCTCTTGTTCAGGAAACGGGGGGTGGGGGTGGTCGAAGCCGAACTGACACTCAAACGGCGACAGTCCAGTGGACAAGTTCGGCAGTGTGTTATGAGCATATTCCGCCCAGACGAGGAACTTGCTCCAGTTGATGGCCTGAGTGGAGACGAAACAGCGGAGGAACTTCTCCAGCTCCTGGTTGGCCCGCTCAGTTTGCCCATTCGGCTGTGGGTGGAACCCCGAGGAGAGAATCACAGACGCCTCCAACAGGGAGCAGAAGGCTTTCCAATACTGTACAACGAACTGGGGCACACGATCTGAGACAATTCAGTAGTACTTTTCATGAGGGATGCCAAAGCCTCTGTTGGTGTCAGATCATAACTAATGTCATACTGTTTTTTTATGTAGCACTGTGTTATAGCACAGTGGTGCTCTCAGTTCATTATCAAACTGAGCCAATGAATAGATTCTGGGAGCGGTAACTTTAAGATTTCTCTTCTCCAGCCGGGGACACCGACACATACAATTTCAGAAACATCAACAAGGATTACACAATAAAGCTTAAAGCTTATTTCCATTGTGATCCTTTTTGGGGGGGTTCAGTAAGGTTAGGCAGCACTGGTAGTGAGTGCGCATGTTTGTTGTGTGTGTGCGCATGTTTGTTGTGTGTGTGCGTGTGTAATACACAATAGATATGTCTTGAGGCTTGTACCATGTTGTCATTTAGAGGAATACACTGTGAATGAAGCTACATGTCCTGGGAGCTAAGGCTGTAAGGGATGGAAGGCTCTTCTAGGAATCTCTAACTGTACAGTAGGTAGCCTGCTGTGAGACACTCCTGTTATAACCAGGGATGTAGGAGAGCAGGGAGGAGGGAGGAGAGGGGAGGCGTGGAGTGGACAGGAGAGGGGGGAGAGGAGAGAGAAGAGGGGAGGAGGGAGGAGAGGGGAGGGAGGAGAAGAGGGAAGGTGAGGGAGGATTGGGGAGGAGAGGGAGGAGAGGGGGAGAGGAGAGGAGGGAGAAGAGGGGAGGAAGGAGAGGGGATGAGAGGCAAGGGGAGGGGAGGGGAGGAGAGAGGAAGGAGAAGAGGACGAGATGAGAGGGGAGAAGGGAAAGAATAGGGGTTAGTACACTCTAAAAAGAAAAGGTTCCTGGAGGATCCTTTAGGAGTTCTTCAAATTGAAACTGTGGGGGAACCCCTATAAGTTCTTTAAATAACCCCTTTTAATGGATCCTCAAAGAACCTTTTGAATAACCTTTTGGGGTAAATTTTTGAACTCCCCCCCCTCCCCCATTATTATTATTATTATTATTAATAATAATATGCATAACAATAACACACTATTTTAGTTGTCAGTGTTTATTATGATTTTAGTGGCAAAGCAGAATAAAAAAATCTAAATATGATGTAACCTCCCAGCAGAGCCCCAAGTCCAATGGGTATATACTCTGGCGTGTTGATGTTAATGTGTTGATGTTCGCTGTATCCATAGCCAGAATGATTTTGCAGTGCATGGTGATCGAACAGGTTTCCTGTTATATTCATCAGAGGTGTATGGAGGGTGAAGTCTGTGAATCTAAAATATTTTAATTATACAGATGATTAACAAAACATGCACACAACAATATTCATAGAGGAGAGTAGAGGGGAGGAGGGATAACACTCCATGTCCTATACACTAGAACGCCTGTGTAGACACAAATGCTAGTGTGTGTGTGTGAGTGCGTGTGTGTGTGTGTGTGCATGTGGGTTAGTTGTTTATCCCAGAAGGGAGTTGTGAGAGATGATGGATGGAGGATATTTGCTTGATTATTGTCTTCTGTTGAATAAATTATTTAAACTGAGTGACTCAACACCCCCACACACACACACTCAAACAGATCTGATTGAGATTACTAGAGTCCTGTAGCTTTTGTTTTCTACATTTTATAATAAACCAGCCACACGCTGCTTATCAACCCCTACCTGCTGCTCTAATAGAGTACCACAGTATGAGTCATAATACCCATATAACCTAGTGGTCAAACAGGGAAATGGTTCAAATTCGTTTTTACACCAATCATTTTTCCCATAGGGGATTTTAGAAACTTAAAATATATAATAAGGGCTGTGTTTCCTGTAGGCGTACCCTAGCGTGACGTTTTGATAACCATGTAAATCTCTCTAGGACAAGGTGACTTTTATCAATATATTTGCCTGTATTCCCCCCCCCCCCAAAAAAAAGAGGGAAATAAATGCTAATTAGCTGCTAATGTGGCTATCATAAAGACCTACACATGCCATGATGATGCCAGTTAGAGATGAAATGCAGGACCTTGCAGGGATTTGTAGTTTAGCATGATGTCTACTTTGATGCTGATTAGCATTTTCGAATCTGAGAGTAAATAGAGCCGAATATATTGATAAAAGTCACCTTGTCCATTAATCAAAACGTCACGCCAGGGTAAGCCTGCATGAAACATAGCCCTTATTTTAAGTGTGTCTAAAATCCCTTTTGGGAAAAATGAGTGGTGGAAAAACTATTGGAACCATTTCCCTGTTTGACCACTAGGTTTTATGGGTATTATGACACCTCCACTGTGGGTCTCTATGACTAAACAGTAGTTCCTATCAGACAGAAATATAATGGGGAGAGAGAGAGGGGCTAGGAAGAAAGAGAGAGGGAGAAAGAGAGAGGGCTAGGAGGGAGGTAAAGAGAGACAGGACAATTGGAATGGCTGGCAAAAGACAGGGGAGACAGTGGAAGACACGAGGGAGCGAGGGCAGAGGCGGGGGAGTGTTAACTCTTTATGAAAGCGACTGGTCATTTGTGAGCAACATTCATAGCACAGTAAAATGGCCCAGTGGAGACTAGCTTGCAAAACAGAAGAGAGATATTAATGTTGTTTTTCCTGATTAGTGATAGTGATACGTGTCTGTGGTAATGAGCTGGTGTCATAAACATGATGTATTGTCTTTCAGAGTGGATTTAATAAACAGCTTAGTCAAACCAGGACGCCACTGGCCTGAGGAAGAGAGCAGAGTATGAAGCAGAAAAATTAGGAGGGAGAAACGTTCACTATTTTTTGTGTGTGTGTGTGCTTGTGTGTGTGTGTGCAGGTGTGTGTGAGTGCACATGCTTGTGTGTGTGTGTGTTTGTATCCGCCCAAGTGTGCATGTGTGTGCGTGTCTTCGCACATGCTTGTGTGTGTGTTTGTGTGCGTCCAAGCATGCATGCGTGTGTTATTCACAGTCAGTCTGTGTCTGGGAGCGCGTTGGTATTTTTAGAGAGGCCAGGGCTTTCAGACATCCCTGTCTGCTGCCAGATCAGAGAATATTACAGTCTATCCCTGTTCTACTACAGCTACTCTATGTTGTCTATCCATAGCTATACTGTTGTATATTCTACTACAACTGTCTAGACTAATACAATGACACACACACACACACATACAGACACATACTTATTTGAGGGTCACATTAAGCCATTTGTCTCTAATGTTTAATCTCATCAGAGGAGCCAGTAATGTTCAGTGAGACGGGCTGTATAATCACACTATTAACTTGAGGGCAGTGTGTATGTGAGTCTATGTCTGTGTTTCGATGTGTGTGTTTGTTCCCAGTCTCTCTATAGTCGCCCTCACCTCTCCTTCTCTTGTGTGTGTTTGTTTCCTGTCCTAATTGGCAGTATGGCTGATTGCTTGAGAGTGTGTATGATTGCTTGACTACACACCTCATCTGAGCTGAACTCCCCCTCTCATGCAAATGAGACAGAAATCTACTTTCCTTATTTTCTGTTACTGTAAAGGGTTTTGTTTTAGTTTGTGTGTGTGTGAGTGTGTGTGTGTGTGTATGTATATGTGTGTGTGTGTGTGTGTGTGTGTGCAACCTGCTGGGAAATAATAAATAAACAAAAGACATGAAATGATGTTCTGAGGAAGAAGAAATTATACGTTGGTTATAGAGGTGTGAGGAAGAGAGAGCCAGACAGACAGACAGAGGGAGACAAAGAGATAAAGATAGAATGAGAGACAAACAGAGAGAGAGAGAAAGAAAAGCTGTAATTGTCACTCATACTGCGTTAAACAGAACTGCTTTCCTGAGGGAAGAGAGACCAACAGAATTATATCCTCCTCTCCTCTCCTCTCTCCTTCTCTAATATCTATCCCTGAGCTCTTCAACACTGGCTAGAGATTGTATGAATATTTAGTGGACATTTTAATATTTAGTGGACAATGAAAGCCTTTCCTCCCTCTTCTTATCTTCTTCTCCCTCTTCTTATCTTCTTCTCCCTCTTCTTATCTTCTTCTCCCTCTTCTTAACTTCCTCTCTCTCTACTTATTAGTTCTCCCCCTCTTCTCTCTTTTTGTGTTCTCAACTTCTCCCCTTTATTCTCATAGCTTCTCTGTCTTCATCTAAACTCTGTTCCTTTTTCTTTTTTCTAATTTCCTTTTTCATGATCCTCTTGTCCTCTCCTCTCTTCTAATCTCGTATCCTCTCGTCCCGTTCTTTCTATTCACATTTTCTCTCATCTCCTGTACGTATATTTTCTAAGCTATATTCTCTTTTCCTCCACATCTTCCCTCTATTCATGATCTTTAGATATTTTCTTACAGATTCTCTTATCTTCTTCTATTCTCTTATCCTATACAGTAGATAGACTGAGATTATCTTCTATTGTCTTCCCTGTTTTACAGATAGAGACTTTGAGCTCATCCTGAGCCAAACCAATCACTTTGTCTCCAGCAGACTGAGGGCTCAGCCAATAACAGTGATTAGCAGACTCAGAGAGACAATCACAGCGACTCTAGCAACATGACGACCAACCAGCTGTAGCCAACTGAGGAGGGTATAGAAGGACTATAATTGCCTGTTTAGCCTGTCACCCTGTACCCCTCTACACCCCCTTTAGCTCCCTCTAGCCCCCCATCAACTCCCAGGCTCTACCCCCTCAGAGGGAGTTCAGTAAGCACCCTCTAACAGCCCCCAAAACGCTTCTTCCACCATGACCAATAACAGCAGCTCCTCTGGCGTCTGGGAGAACTCTGATTGGTCAGAGTCAGCCCAGTGCCCGCCCTCGGTGAGTGGAGCCACCTTCCTCATCGTGGCCTACAGCACGGTGATCGCAGTGGGGTTGCTAGGCAACGTGGGCCTGGTGTTCATCATTGGGCGGCAGAAGGAACTGCATAATGTCACCAACATTCTAATCGCCAACCTGTCCTGCTCCGACATCTTGATGTGTGTGGTGTGTCTACCCGTCACCGTCATCTACACTCTGATGGACCGCTGGGTACTGGGGGAGGCACTCTGCAAGGTGAGAACACAAACACTTTTCTTAAAAAATTAAAATCCTTGTTCAGAGTTTGTTTGATAACCTTGCCGTGTTTGTTTGTGTCCATAATCTGCCTTTTTTCCTCCTCCCTCTCCCTCTCTTGTCCCTTATATATCTCCTCTCTTCCCTATCAGGTCACTCCGTTTGTACAGTGTGTGTCAGTGACGGTGTCTATATTCTCCCTGGTGTTGATTGCGTTGGAGCGCCATCAGTTGATCCTGCACCCTACCGGCTGGTCCCCAGCAGCAGGCCACTCCTACCTGGCCGTAGGACTCACCTGGTTGGTCGCCTGCTTCATATCACTCCCCTTCCTGTCCTACAACATTCTGACCGACAACCCCTTCCAGAACCTCACCCTGCCCGCCAACCCCTTCAGGTGAGTCAGTGTGTGTGTGTGTGTGTGTGTCAGTAAATGTCCGCAAAAAAATGTATTTAAATTGTTGCCAGCAGCACAGTTACAGTCACCAATGCTCTAGATAACATGAAAACAGCTTAACCAGCTCTGCTAGGGCGAGTAAAATGGTCAGAGTGAGGTGTTCTCTTATTTGTGTCTGCAAGTAGCTAGCCGACTTTCGCCAGTTAGCTTGGGTGCTTGACTGTGGTTGAGGTCAGAACGATCGGATCAACCCTACTCCTCTGCCAGAGCGTCCAGTGTGCGAACAGACAATCTGACAACGCTCTGAATTTACGAACGACGCAGAGCGCACTCTGACACACTGGAGGCAATTTATGAACACACCCTGTGTCTGTGATTGTGACAGATGTAGCGCTCTGAGAGACACCATCTGTCTAACTACAGCTGTTGTATATCTACATGCATCTACATACTGTACATAAACAAACTCTCTCCTCTTTCTCTCTCTCTCTCTCTCCCTCTCTCTCTCTCTCCCTCTATCTGTGTCTCTCTCGCTCTCCTTATCTCTATCCCTCTGTCTCTCTTTATCGCTCTCAATTCAATTTAATTCAATTGCTTTATTGGCATGACGTAACAATGTACATATTGCCAAAGCTTACTTTGGAGATTTAGAATATTAACATCATTAAAATAATAATAATCAATATTGTCAATGGGACAACAGTAACAACAATAATCAATGGTCAAAATAACCATACAGTGGGGGAAAAAAGTATTTAGTCAGCCACCAATTGTGCAAGTTCTCCCACTTAAAAAGATGAGAGAGGCCTGTAATTTTCATCATAGGTACACGTCAACTATGACAGACAAATTGAGAAAAAAAGAATCCAGAAAATCACATTGTAGGATTTTTAATGAATTTATTTGCAAATTATGGTGGAAAATAAGTATTTGGTCACCTACAAACAAGCAAGATTTCTGTCTCTCACAGACCTGTAACTTATTCTTTAAAAGGCTCCTCTGTCCTCCACTCGTTACCTGTATTAATGGCACCTGTTTGAACTTGTTATCAGTATAAAAGACACCTGTCCACAACCTCAAACAGTCACACTCCAAACTCCACTATGGCCAAGACCAAAGAGCTGTCAAAGGACACCAGAAACAAAATTGTAGACCTGCACCAGGCTGGGAAGACTGAATCTGCAATAGGTAAGCAGCTTGGTTTGAAGAAATCAACTGTGGGAGCAATTATTAGGAAATGGAAGACATACAAGACCACTGATAATCTCCCTCGATCTGGGGCTCCACGCAAGATCTCACCCCGTGGGGTCAAAATGATCACAAGAACGGTGAGCAAAAATCCCAGAACCACACAGGGGGACCTAGTGAATGACCTGCAGAGAGCTGGGACCAAAGTAACAAAGCCTACCATCAGTAACACACTACGCCGCCAGGGACTCAAATCCTGCAGTGCCAGACGTGTCCCCCTGCTTAAGCCAGTACATGTCCAGGCCCGTCTGAAGTTTGCTAGAGTGCATTTGGATGATCCAGAAGAGGATTGGGAGAATGTCATATGGTCATTTGAAACCAAAATAGAACCTTTTGGTAAATTTTGGTTAAAACTCAACTCGTCGTGTTTGGAGGACAAAGAATGCTGAGTTGCATCCAAAGAACACCATACCTACTGTGAAGCATGGGGGTGGAAACGTCATGCTTTGGGGCTGTTTTTCTGCAAAGGGACCAGGACGACTGATCTGTGTAAAGGAAAGAATGAATGGGGCCATGTATCGTGAGATTTTGAGTGAAAACCTCCTTCCATCAGCAAGGGCATTGAAGATGAAACGTGTCTGGGTCTTTCAGCATGACAATGATCCCAAACACACCGCCCGGGCAACGAAGGAGTGGCTTCGCAAGAAGCATTTCAAGGTCCTGGAGTGGCCTAGCCAGTCTCCAGATCTCAACCCCATAGAAAATCTTTGGAGGGAGTTGAAAGTATGTGTTGCCCAGTGACAGCCCCAAAACATCACTGCTCTAGAGGAGATCTGCATGGAGGAATGGGCCAAAATACCAGCAACAGTGTGTGAAAACCTTGTGAAGACTTACAGAAAACGTTTGACCTGTGTCATTGCCAACAAAGGGTATATAACAAAGTATTGAAAAACTTTTGTTATTGACCAAATACTTATTTCCCACCATAATTTGCAAATAAATTCATAAAAAATCCTACAATGTGATTTTCTGGAAAAAAAATGCTTATTTTGTCTGTCATAGTTGACGTGTACCTATGATGAAAATTACAGGCCTCTCTCATCTTTTTAAGTGGGAGAACTTGCACAATTGGTGGCTGACTAAATACTTTTTTTCCCCACTGTACATTGAAGAATAACAATAACAATAAGCATAGAGGACATGTGCAGGTTGGTTGGTCTGTCAGACACTGTCCCTCATTTTATGGCAGGCAGCAATGTAGTGCGCTGCCAACCCACAGCTCTCTGCATCCTCCCCCAACAGGACGGGTAGCCTATTCTCATCAGAGAGGTCTTTGAAACCTTGAATAAGGTTTTCAAATTTGGGGAAATGACACTCTAATTGTTTGATTTTTTTTTTTTAATTTTCAGGAAATGCAGCTCTGTCTCGGGTTCTGCTGTGGTGCAGTGGTTGCACAGCCTTTCCTCTACAGGGAGCCAGGTTTTCCTGTGTCTACCCTTCTCAATGGCAAGGCTGTGCTCACTGAGCCTATACTTTGTCAAGGTTTTTCTAAGGTTTTTCTCTTTCTGCTTCTCTCTCTCTCTCTGTCTCTCTCTCTCCTCACCTCTCTCTCCTTTTCTCCTCCTCTCTTTGTCTTTCTCGCTCTCTTTCTCTCTCATTCTCTCACTCTCTCCCTCTCTCTCTCAATTCAATTTCTATTCAATTTAAGGGCTTCATTGGCATGGGAAACGTATGTTAACATTGCCAAAGCAAGTGAAATAGATAGTAAACAAAAGTGAAATAAACAATAAATATTAACAGTAAACATTACACTCACAAAAGTTCTAAAAGAATAAAGAAGTTTCAAATGTCATATTATGTATGTATAGAGTGTTGTAACAATGTGCAAATAGTTAAAGTACAAATGGGAATATAAATAAACATAAATATGGGTTGTATTTACAATGCTGTTTGTTCTTCACTGGTTGCCCTTTTCTTGTGGCAACAGGTCACAAATCTTGCTGCTGTGATGACACACTGTGGTATTTCACCCAGTAGATAAGGGAGTTTATCAAAATTGGGTTTGTTTTCTAATTCTTTGTGGATCTGTGTAATCTGAGGGAAATATGTGTCTCTAATATGGTCATACATTTGGCAGGAGGCCAGGAAGTGCAGCTCAGTTTCCACCTCATTTTGTGGGCAGTGTGCACAAAGCCTGTCTTCTCTTGAGAGCCTACGGAGGCCTTTCTCAATAGCAAGGCTATGCTCACTGAGTCTGTACATAGTCAAAGCTTTCGTTAAGTTTGGATCAGTGACAGTGGTTAGGTATTCTGCCACTGTGTACTCTCTGTTTAGGGCCAAATAGCATTCTAGTTTGCTCTGTTTTTTAAATAAATCTTTCCAATGTGTCAAGTAATTCTCTTTTTGTTTTCTCATGATTTGGTTGGGTCTAATTGTTGTTGTTGTTGTCCTGGGGCTCTGTTTGTGTTTGTGAACAGAGCCCCAGGACCAGCTTACTTAGGGGACTCTTCTCCAAGTTCATCTCTCTGTAGGTGATGGCTTTGTTATGGAAGGTTTGGGAATTGCTTCTTTTTAAGTGGTTATAGAATTTAACGGCTATTTTCTGGATTTTGATAATTAGCGGATATCGGCCAAATCCTGCTCTGCAATTCAATTCAAGGGATTTATTGGCATGGGAAACATATGTTTACATTGCCAAAGCAAGTGAAATAGATAATAAACAAAAGTGAAATAAACAATAAAAAAATTAACAGTAAACATTACACTCACAAAAGTTCCAAAATAACAAATACATTTCAAAAGTCATATGATGTGCAAATAGTTAAAGTATAAAAGGGAAAATAAAAAACATAAATATGGGTTGTATTTACAATGGTGTTTGTTCTTCACTGGTTGCCCTTTTCTTGTGGCAACAGGTCACAGATCTTGCTGCTGTGATGACACACTGTGGTATTTCAACCAATAGATACAGGAGTTTATTAAAATTGGGTTTGTTTCGAATTATTTGTGGGTCTGTGTAATCTGAGGGTAATATGTGTCTCTAATATGGTCATAGATTTGTCAGGAGGTTAGAAAGTGCAGCTCAGTTTCCACCTCATTTTGTGGACAGTGTGCACATAGCCTGTCTTCTCTTGAGAGCCAGGTCTGCCTACGGCGGGCTTTCTCAATAGCAAGGCTATGCTCTGTACATAGTCAAAGCTTTCCTTAAGTTTGGTCTCTCTCTCTCTCTCTCTCTCTCTCTCTCTCTCTCTCTCTCCTGCTCTCCTGCTCTCCGTCTCTCTCGCTCTCCTGCTCTCCGTCTCTCTCGCTCTCCTGCTCTCCGTCTCTCTCGCTCTCCTGCTCTCCGTCTCTCGCTCTCCTGCTCTCTCGCTCTCCTGCTCTCCGTCTCTCTCTCCTGCCTCTCCTCTCTCTCTCTCTCCTGCGCTCTCTGTAGAGAGAGAGAGTCGAGCTGACGCTCCTCTCTCTCTTAGCTCTCGATGATCTCTCTCTCTCGCTCTTCTCTCTCATCAACCCTATCTCTCTCTCTCTCTCTCTCTCTCTCTCTCCTCTCTCTCTCTCTCCTCAGAGACCATGTGATCTGTTTGGAGAAATGGCCGACTGAAAGACACCGTCTGGCCTACACCACCTCCCTGTTGCTGTTCCAGTACTGCCTCCCTCTGCTACTGGTGCTGCTCTGCTACCTCCGCATATTCCTACGCCTACGTCGACGCAGGTGACACACACACATGCACACTCACGGCGGCACACAAGCACACACACACATGCACTAATGCATGCTCGCAAGCACAGAAAGACACACACAAGACAATTATAGTATGCCTACTCAGATGCAGGTAATACATCAGGACAGGAGTCAAATGAATGGTAGTCAATGAGTGACCAGTGATGAATAGGTGAATAAAACAAATGAATGTGTGGAGTAATAGTCCAAGGATCATCAAAGAGGATAGCCAATGAAAAGTTAATGAGTAAATGGAAATGTTAATGAAATTAATAAGTACCTGGTAAAGTGTGGTATAAATCCCATCCATTTAGTCCGTTCCGGTGGCCCCCCATTGATCAAACAAAATTACAACAACAGATACATAAAGAACAAATAAACAAAAGTAAACAAAAACAAAAGTAACTGGAAATGTGTGGTATACTGCAAGTGCCATCTAAAGTCCTTTCCTGTGTTTTTCCCATCCAGGGAAGTGGTGGAGCGGAGCCGGAAGGCCCGAGGAGCCCAGAGGATCAATGCTATGCTGGCGGCCATCGTTGCCGCCTTCGCCCTCTGCTGGCTGCCGCTTAACGTGTTCAACACGATATTTGACTGGGACCACCAGGCGCTGCCCGCCTGCCAGCATGATGCTGTGTTCTCCGCCTGCCACCTCACCGCCATGGCCTCCACCTGTGTCAACCCTGTGGTGAGTGGAGTTGGGTTTAGTTTAGGTTATTAGTATATGGCTCTGAATATACATCAACACCTCCCCTGTAGACATTCCTGTCTTTTCTATAGATGTATCTTTCTATTCCTACTGCTGTATCATCAAAGGTGCTGTCTATGTGAGTCTCAGAAATTGCTAATATATTAATATTATCTGAGATTAGCAAATTACTAATCTCATGAATTTTGTTTCTGAGGCTACATATATTTAAATGAGCTCATTTTAACCCTTTCCTGGGTAGTTTTTCTAAAACTGAACTCAATGATAATAGGTTTTATTTCTAATAATGATATTTCTGATAATAACAGATTATGTTCAGCAGATGCCTTATCTGGTTTAGCTCTGCTGCAGCAGGGTGCTCTAGTCTTCGTGCCACTTCAGCAAAGCTGTCTTGCTGGACTGTTGGCCTCAATGGTGCAGGGGGGTGCTGTCCTGTCGGCATGGGAGGTAATGGGGTGGGGTGGTGCTGTTCTGTCAGCATGAGGGGTTGTGGGGTGGGGTATTGAGTGGTGGCCAATGGAGTGGGGGGTTGCTGGCCTCTTTGGGCGAAGTTCTGGTCTCTCTGGGTGGAGAGCTGGGCTCTCTGGGGGAAGTGTTGCCCTCTGGGTGGAGAGCTGGGCTCTCTGGTTGAGGGGATGGTCTCTCTGGGTGAGGTGATGGTCATTCTGGGGGGAGTGCTGGGCTCTCTGGGTGAGGTGATGGTCTCTCTGGGTAAGGTGATGGTCTCTCTGGGCGGAGTGCTGGGCTCTCTGGGCAGAGTGCTGGAGTCTCTGGGCGGGGTGCGCACCTGCCGCTGCCGTAGGAGCGCAGACACTTCCCCAAGCTCTGGACAGTGCTGGTCATAAAAAAGCTAGCTAGCTGATGGATGCAAACAATGTTCTTCCCCAAAAACATAGCAAAACGACATAACTGTTTCAGTAGCTATAGTTAGCTAGCTAACTTTCTAGCTAGGTGTCATCATCTAAAATACCCCTAATTTATAAGACCGTTCTTTTTTGATTAATGGTGGTCGGATCCACCTATGTGAAGCTAGCCACAATAAGGATTATCCACAATAGTGGAATTTGCGGTTTACCTTCAAAATAAGTGTCTCAATGAAAGTGATACAAATGAATACAAATCGTGGAATCATGCCATAATGGAATAGATCGTGCTAAATGAGGTTGGAATGTTCTGGTATAAATTCAACAAAATACAATAATTTGTAAATTTGACAAAAATCTGTTGGAATCACACTGGATGTATTAGACTTTAGAATTGCATTGGGGGCATACTTATTTCACTGTACAGCCTTACCTATAGATTGTGGATCAATGACATGGGGTATCAGTCTACTCAGTGACACCCAGAGAACATTAAAGTCGTAGCTCTTATTGCGGGACTCTGAAACCACTGTGAATTGAGCCACATTTATTGTACCAGTCAACCTACTATGTGTATTGAACACTATTCAAATCAAATCAAATTAAATCAAATTGTATTTGCCACATGCGCCGAATACAACAGGTGTAGACATTACAGTGAAATGCTTACTTACAAGCCCTTAACCAACAATGCAGTTGTTTAAAGAAAAATGTAAAATAAAAAAAGTGTTAAAGAAAAAAGAAAAAAAAGAAAAAAACTAAAGAGCAGCAGTAAAATAAAGTAACAGTAGGGAGGCTATATACAGGGGGGTACCGGTACAGAGTCAATGTGCAGGGGCACCGGCTAGTAGAGGTAATTGAGGTCATATGTACATGTGGGTAGAGTTAAAGTGACTGTGCATAAATAATAAACAGAGTAGCAGCAGCGTAAAAGAGGGAGATGGGGGTGGGGTGGGGGGTTAGCGCAAATAGTCTGGGTAGCCATGATTAGCTGTTCAGGAGTCTTATGGCTTGGGGGTAAAGCTGTTGAGAAGCCTTTTGGACCTAGCAGAGAGAACAGTCTATGACTAGGGTGGCTTGAGTCTTTGACAATTTTTAGGGCCTTCCTCTGACACCGCCTGGTATAGAGGTCCTGGATGGCAGGAAGCTTAGCCCCAGTGATGTACTGGGCCGTACGCACTACCCTCTGTAGTGCCTTGCGGTCAGAGGCCGAGCAGTTGCCATACCAGGCAGTGATGCAACCAGTCAGGATGCTCTCGATGGTGCAGCTGTATAACGTTTTGAGGATCTGAGGACCCATGCCAAATCTTTTCAGTCTCCTGAGGGGGAATAGGTTGCCCTCTTCACGACTGTCTTGGTGTGTTTGGACCATGATAGTTCGTTGGTGATGTGGACACCAAGGAACTTGAAGCTCTCAACCTGTTCCACTACAGCCCTGTCGATGAGAATGGGGGCGTGCTCAGTCCTCTTTTTTTTTCCTGTAGTCCACAATCATCTCCTTTGTCTTGATCACGTTGAGGGAGAGGTTGTTATCCTGGCACCACACGGCCAGATCTCTGACCTCCTCCCTATAGGCTGTCTCCTCGTTGTCGGTGATCAGGCCTACCACTGTTGTGTCGTCGGCAAACTTAATGATGGTGTTGGAGTCGTGCCTGACCATGCAGTCATGAGTGAACAGGGAGTACAGGAGGGGACTGAGCACGTGTTACGCCCCTGAAAAAGGGGAGAAATAATCACGAACGTGACGCAGTTGTTTCCTCACTGAAACTTTAGTATAATCTTTTTACAAAAATACCACATTTTACAGAACAACAGATCTACAGGAACCAGAGTTTTGTAGGGTACAAAGCTTATTCAAGTCACAACAGCATAAACTGTAATTCACTAAAACATATACAAATGTTTCAATATAACTGTCAAACACAAAGTAGCTTTAGCTCAGTAACCCATAACTACATTTATCAACCATGTCAACAAAGTATTCGAAACACATTGTACAAATAACCCCAAATATATTATTAACAACGCACATGTTCATTCACAATTAGCATAAAATGGCAGCTACCCTCAGTACGAAGCTATTTCGCAGCAACCAAGCAGGTTTCACTCACACCTAATAACTCTCTTCAACTTAACTCTAAACTTACTCAAGATGTTACTAACACATACCTTAAACTCTCTTGACATGTTAGCAAGTTATTACATTCAAATTAACTTGTTTTATCAATAACGTACCTGAAAAAGGGGAGAAATAATCACGAAAGTGACGCAGTTGTTTCCTCACTGAAACTTTAGTATAATGAGGAAAAAGACCGCGATTTCCCCAGAAAGTTGGCCGGAGACCAGAGCAATCGATCTCAGGCTCATAGATTAAGAGCATTTAGTAGATCACAAATTAACACTTTTACCCTTAAATTAGGCACCACAAAATAAAGTAGTCAATATAACGTTTACACCTTCCTCTTACAATAATTTACCCTTTTACACTTGACGGATTTTAACACATTTATGCATTTTATCAATCTCTATGAACTAGTACTGGATGCATTATCTTTTTAACCTTAGATATTTTAAGATCCTTACATACCATGAACTTACTAATACTTTTTAGTGTATAACAGGCTATGAATATGTCCTTTAACCTGTCACACTCTCCCCGACAAAATAAATGTTGTCCCAACATTACCAACATTGTCTTCTTAAACAGTCTATTAGCACTGGACGTAGAAAATCCTCTTCTGTAAGATAGTCCTTGAGCAGAGGTCAAAGTTCACAGTTCAAATAGAACCAAGAAGTTATATTCACAGTCCATATCTGTTGACCAGCTGTATAAACAGTCCATAAGCAGTCTTTTCTCATACTATTGTCAACAGTCCATCAGTTGTAATGATCTATATGCATAGTCTGCTAATTGTCTCGTGAAAGTCTGTGAAATCAGTCAGTAGTCCATGGTCAAACATGTCAACTCTGTCTGTGGCCTCAAGTTTGCTGAAGTCCATACATGTAGGGTGGCTATAGGTAATATCGCTGTAGTGATGGCAGCCATGGAACCAGTCCTGGTGCAGGGTAGACAGGGAACAACTGTGGCTGTGGCTGTATACTGTAGCAGGAAGGGATACCAAGCTGATCATAGGTGATACGTCTTGGAGGGTGTCTCTCTCTTTGTGGCAGCTGGTAAGCTGGTTCCTCAGGTTCAGCAGCAGCAGTTAATGAAGGAAAGGCACTTAGTGGACGATCATCAGGCACATTTTCAGCAGGCAAGTTCATCTCCTCAGCAGGCAGTTCTTTAACTGTTGTTTTCTCCTCCAGCTGATTTTCAACAAGCGGCTGTGCTGGTAGCATATCAGGAACTGGCACCGCAACTGTTTGTTTCACTGGTGGGGGCCTGTTTTCCGACTCTCTCGCTGGTTCACTTTTGTCATCTTTAGTCATTTCTGGTTGTCTCTCAAAAGGTAAGTGGTCACAGGACATGAGCAGGTTTCTGTGCAGGACCCTGGAGCGTCCCCTACCCTTTTCTGGTCTCAACTCATAAATCGGCAGGTCTGAACCCATTTGTCTCACTACTGTGTGAATTTGATCTTCCCAATAGTTACGGAGTTTGCCTGGTCCTCCTCTTGGTGTCAGGTTTTTAATCAGAACTCGCTCGCCAGGCTGTAGCACTGAACTCCTAACTTTAGTGTCATAGTACTTCTTACTTCTTTCAGCAGCTTTCTGAGCATTTTCTTTTGCAATGGCATATGCTTCTTCCATTCCTCGTTTCCAGTTCTCCACGTAGTCTCCCTGGTTACTGGAACCTGCCTCTGTGCACAATCCAAAGAACATATCAACTGGAAGCCTGGGTGATCTCCCAAACAGAAGATAAAATGGTGAATAGCCAGTCACTTCGCAACGGGTGCAGTTATAGGCATAAACCAGTTTGTTTAGAGACTCCTTCCAGTTTGACTTTTGTGTCTCAGTTAGTGTCTTTAGCATTTGCAACAATGTTCTGTTCATTCGTTCCACTTGACCGTTCCCCATCGGGTGGTAGGGTGTTGTTCTGGACCCGGCCATGCCACTGAGTTTCTTTAACTGATGGAACAACTGATTTTCGAATTCTCCCCCTTGGTCATGGTGGATGCGGGAGGGGAACCCAAACTTCAGGGCAAAGTCATTGAAGATGAGATTTGCAGCAGTTTTTCCTGACTTTGATGTGGTGGCGTAGGCTTGAGTGAAATGTGTAAAATGGTCAACAATCACGAGGATGTACTCATATCCCCCTTTGCATCTGTCGATTTGGAGGAAATCTATACATACCAGTTCAAATGGCTGTGTTGTCACAATGTTTGTCAGAGGAGCTCTTGTTTCATGGCCTGGCTTTTTCTGCTTGACACAGCTACAAGTTTTAGTCACATAGTGCTCGATGTCAGATTGCATATAAGGCCAGAAAGAAGCGGTCACGTACTAGTGATACAGTGCGGTCAGTACCTTGGTGTCCCATGTTATTGTGCAACTCTTCCATCACTTTACCTTTGTACTGCTCTGGTAGAACTAACTGCTTGCGGGCTGTAGTGATTCTGTAAAGAATACCCTCATTGTCGATTGTCAATTTGTCCCATTCTCTGAATAGGCATTTTGTCTTTGGACTGAATTCCTTTTGCTCTTTAACTGGCGGTTTGGAACCAGACAGCTTGAAATCGAGCACAGGACGGATGACCGGATCAGACTCTTGTGCCTCTCTTATCCCCTCTTTTGGGATCGAGCTGATTGTTGCTGTAGTTGTCTCACCTTCAGCTGATACTGACATAGATGCAGCTGAAATTGACCAAGGCACAAAATACTCTTTCTGTACCTCTACTGCTTGTATCGTGGCGGCAATGGTGTCTGGTGGAAGCTCCTCAGAACATTCTCTCATCAGTGACTCTACATCCAGTGGCATCCTCGACAAAGCATCTGCATCACCGTTCTCTCTGCCTGGCCTGTACTTTATTGTAAAGTGGAAATCAGCCAATTCTGCAACCCACCTGGAAGTGGTTGCGTTCAGTTTTGCAGTAGACAGAATGTAGCTGAGCGGGTTGTTATCACTGTATACAGTGAAGGTCGGAGCATAGTACAAATAATCATGGAACTTATCAGTGATTGCCCATTTTAGAGCTAGAAATTCTAGCTTGCCAGAGTGGTAGTGATAGTTCTTCTCAGCTGCTGTTAAGGTTCGAGAGCCATAAGCAATGACCCTAAGCTTCCCATCTTGCTCTTGATAAAGAACTGCTCCCAAGCCTTGGTGTGACGCATCAGTGTGTACAACAAATGGCTGAGTGAAGTCAGTGAAACCTAAGACTGGTGGGTGAAGCAACACTCAATCAGCTGTTCAAGTGCCTGTTGATGCTGGTCAGTCCACAGGATTGGCTTGTTTGAGGGCACCACATGACTTACTTTCTTTGTTTTGCTTTCCGTGGGTGGTCAGGTATTTTCTCTGAATCTGCTTTCAGGAGGTCATACAGACAGCTGGCCCTCCTAGAAAAGTCTTTGATGTACTGTCTGTAGTAAGTGAGTAAACCAAGCATTTTTCTGAGCTGGCCCACAGTCTGTGGTCTGATCTCTTTCAATGCTCTTACTGCTTCAAAATCGGCTGGGTCAACTTTGCTGCCGTCTGCAGACACTATTCTGCCCAAATAACGGACCTGGGGTTTAAAGAGATCACACTTACTTGGCTTGAGTTTGATGCCATATTCTCTGAGACGCTGCAAAACCTTTTGCAACATCATTCACATGGCTGTCGAAAGTTTTACTGAAAACTAGCGTGTCGTCCAGATAAGGAATGCAGATGTTGTCCCGGAGCCCTTCCAAACATTCCTCCATACAACGCTGAAAAGCTGCAGGAGCGTTCATGAGGCCGAATGGCATACGTATCCACTCATAGAGTCCCCATGGGGTCACAAATGCTGTCAGTGATCTGTTTTCTTCAGAGATGAACCCTTGGTGATATGCTTTTCCCTGATCTAAAAGGGAGAACCAGGAATTACCACCTAAACTGTCCATGATGTCCTGGACCCGAGGGATGGGCTGGCGGTCAGGATGTGTCTTTCTGTTCAGGTCTCTGTAATCTATACACAACCGGAGGGTCCCGTCCTTCTTCCTAACACACACGACAGGTGAAGAATATGAAGAGTTTGACTTCCTAACCCAACCCTGGGGCTATGAGGTCATGAAGGTAACCCTTCATCTCCTGATACAGTGGCCTGGGCACTGACATGTATGTGCGCTTGACTGGTTCAGAGTCCTTTAGAGAAATAGTCATTTTCAATCGTTCAATGCAGCCAATGTCATTGCCTGATCTGGAGAAGGAGTGACACTCTTCTCTAAGCATTTTCCTAACAACCTCTCTCTGTTCTTTGGTTAGGTGACTTAAACCTACTGGTGGATCCCACTGTTCAGTAGCAGTAAATGGGGTTTGAACACTGGTGTGATTCACTGTGGCTGGGGTGACAGCTTTTTCAAAGACTTGGGCAGGTAACACAGTCATAATGGTTTGTACTGTACCGATTATGGTGCGTCCTAGCAGGGCAATGTCGTGGTCAGTGGGGTTAGAGACATCAAGCATGACAACTGGAAAAACACCTTTCTTAACTCTGACTAGTGTGTCAAATAACTCAAGTTCATCTGGCCACTGCGGGTTCAGGTCTGGCTGGAAAAGCATTGTCATGTCATCTTTGAAAGGCTGGGAAGCTACCCGGCACTCAATCTGAATGCTACTGTGTTTTGGTACAGCAACCTTCTCTTTCTTGGTTTTCACTGCGTATTCATCTGTCTGTTCTGCACTAACAGCCTGTATAAAAGCTCTCACCTTATTTCTTTTGAGGCTTGGAAAGCTTTTTTTACTGTACTGTACCGTTTAGTCTTTTCGGTCATTGTCAGGATGTGCTCAATAACATTGAAACCTATGATGGGATGAGATAGGTGACAGCCTTTCATTACCAGCACTGGGATGATCAGTTCCTTCGTTTGGTCAGTTTCAGAGGCTAGCCGAAAAGTTGTTTCAATCCATCCCAGGTACGGCATTTCAGTCCCATTTACTGCCGTCAATCTTAGATCATCAGGTGAGTCCAGAATTTCTGAAACATCCCTCAGCCTTGCGTTTGGGAGAGATTCCGCTTTCCATCGTTCATCAATGACCGATACCTGAGAGCCTGTGTCCCATAGAGCTTGGAGGTGGTGGCGATTCAGGTGACACTCAAACAAGGCACTGTCTACCGACTAGCGAGGTGACCTTATGGGGGGTGGCAAACTTGAGCTAGGGATGGTAAAGAGTGGGCATTTTCTTCTGTACAGGAAAGCTTTTCACAGGTAGAGTCAATTTTCAGGTGAGTGCATTTTTCCTTATGTTAGTCCAATGTTGGTTTTGACATCCTTTGGAACAGTACAGTGTCTCTTACATGATGAACATGTTTCAGGTTCTCAAATGAATCTTCTCTGGCACAATTTGCACATTTATGGGACTTTTTGGTAGCTACGGTTAACACTTGTCCCTCAGCGGTAACCCTTCCCGTTTAAAGGGGCCTATTTGGATGGTCTGACTCCCCGGATTTTACATCCAGCTTGGAAATGTTCTCCACTCCCACATCGGAAGCAGTGTGTGCAGCGTGCATCTGTTCTGGCCTGCTGGCAGACAAAACACCCCCCGGGGGGAAAAGGGGGGTTTTTTTTTTTGGGTTTTAAAAGGGGGGGGTTTTTGGGGGGGTTTTTTTTTAAAAGGGGGGGGAAAAAGGGGCTGGGGGTTCCCGGGCCCCAAAAAAAGGGGGGGGGGGGTTTTTTAAAAAAGGGGTGGTTTTTTTTTGGTTTCCCCGGGGTTTTGGGAATACAATTTTTTTAAAAATCTTTTAAAATTTTTTTTTCCCCCGCCCTTTTTTTCCCCCGGTTTTTTTTTAAAAAATTTTTAAAAAAAATTTTTTTGGGGGGGGGGTTTTTGGGGTTTTTTTTTTCTTTTACCAAAAAAATTTTAAAAAAATTATTTGGTTTTAAAAAAAGGCCCCCCTTTTTTTTTCCCGGGCCCCGGAAATTTGGAAAAAAAGGGGGGCCTTTTTCCCCCAACCTTTTTTTTTAAAAAAAATTTTTCCTTTTAAAAGGGGGAACCGGGGGGGGGGTTTTTTTTTTTGGGTTTTTTAAAACTTTTTTTTTTTTTGGGGGGGGGGGAAAAAATTTGGGGGGGGAAAAAAGGGGGGGGGGTTTTTTTTTTTTTTTCCCTTTCCAAAAAAAACCCCCGGGCCGGGGAAAATTTTCCCCCAAAGCCCTTTTTTTTTTTTCCCCCCCCGTTTTGGGGGGGGGGAAAAAAATTTTTTTTTTTTGGGTTTTCCCCACCGGGGGGGGGGGGGGGGGAAAAAAAAAAAATTTTTTTTTTTGGGGGGGGGAAAAAAACCCCGGGGGGGTTTTTCCCTAAACCCCCGGGGTTTTGGGGGGGCCCCAAAACCCCCCCCTTTTTTTGGGGGTTTTTTGGGTTTTTTTCCCCCCGGGGGGGTTTAATTTTGGGTTTTATTTGGGTTTTCCCCTTTTTCCTTTTAATTGGAAAATTTTTTTTGGGAAAATTTTCCCTTTTCCCCCCCTTTTCCAAAAAAATTTAAAAAATTTTTTTTAAATTTTTCTCTTTTTTTAAGGAAAAAAAAGGTTTTTTTTTTAAAATTTTTTCCCCCCCTTTTTCCCCTTTTTTCTTAAAAATTTTTCTGTTGGGGGGAAAACCCCCTTTTTTTATTTGGGGGTTTCCCCCCCGGGGGGGCCCGGGGGGAAATTTTAAAAAAAAAACCCCCCCCCCCCCCCTTTCCCCCCCCCCCGGGGGGGGGGTTTTTTTCCCCCCCCTTTGGGGGGGGAAGGGTTTTAAAAAAAAAAAAAAGGGGGGCCCCCCCTTTTTTTGAAACCCCGAAAAAAAAAAAAAACTTTTTCCCAAAAAAAATTTTTAAAAAAAAATTTTTAAAAAAAAAAAAAAAATTTAAAAAACCCAAATTTTAAAAAAAAAAAAAAAAAAACCCTTTTTTTTTTTAAAAAAAAAAAGTTTCAAAAAACCCAAAAAAAAATTTTAAAAAAGAAAGGAAAAAAAAAAAAAAAAAAAACCCCAAAAAAACCCCCCCCAAAAAAAAACCCTTTTTAAATTTTTAAAAAAGGTTCCCCCCTTTAAATTTTTTAAAATTTTAAAAAATTTTTAAATTAAAAAAACCTTTTTAAAAAAAAAAGGGGGGGGCAAAATTAAGGGTTTTTTTAAAAAAAACCCGGAAAAAGGGGGAAAAAACCCGAAAAGGGGGGTGGGGAAAAAAAGGAAAGAAAAAACCCCCCAAAAAAATTGGGGAAAAAAAAAAAAACCCAAATTTAAAAAAAAAAAATTTTTTTTTAAACCCCCCCCAAAAAAAACCCCAAAAAAAATTTAAAAAAAATTTTTTTTTTCCTTTCCCCCCCTTTTTTTTTTTTTTTTTTAAAATTTTTAAATTTTTAAATAAAACCCCTTTTTTTTTTTTAAAAAATTTTTTTTATTTTAACCCAAAAATTTTTTCCCTATGAAATTTTGGGGGCCCCCTTTTTCCCCCCAAAAAAGGGGGGGGAGGGTTTATTTTTAAAGGGGGGGCCCCCGGGAAAATTTGGGTTTGGGGGAAGGGTTTTTTTCCAAAATTTTTTAAAAAAAGGGGGGGTTTTTTAGATCAGTAACCATAACTACATTTATCAACCTGTCAACAAAGTATTCGAAAACATTGTACAAATAACCCCCAATATAGTATTAACAACGCACAAGTTCATTCACAATAGCATAAAATGGCAGCTACCCTCAGTACGAAGCTATTTCGCAGCAACCAAGCAGGTTTCACTCACACCTAATAACTCTCTTCAACTTAACTCTAAACTTACTCAAGATGTTACTAACACATACCTTAAACTCTCTTGACATGTTAGCAAGTTATTACATTCAAATTAACTCGTTTTATCAATAACGTACCTGAAAAAGGGGAGAAATAATCACGAAAGTGACGCAGTTGTTTCCTCACTGAAACTTTAGTATAATGAGGAAAAAGACCGCGATTTCCCCAGAAAGTTGGCCGGAGACCAGAGCAATCGATCTCAGGCTCATAGATTAAGAGCATTTAGTAGATCACAAATTAACACTTTTACCCTTAAATTAGGCACCACAAAATAAAGTAGTCAATATAACGTTTACACCTTCCTCTTACAATAATTTACCCTTTTACACTTGACGGATTTTAACACATTTATGCATTTTATCAATCTCTATGAACTAGTACTGGATGCATTATCTTTTTAACCTTAGATATTTTAAGATCCTTACATACCATGAACTTACTAATACTTTTTAGTGTATAACAGGCTATGAATATGTCCTTTAACCTGTCACACACGCACCCCTGTGGGGCCCCCGTATTGAGGATCCGTGTGGCAGACGTGTTGTTATTTACCCTTACCACCTGGGGGCGGCCTGTCAGGAAGTCCAGGATCCAGTTGCAGAGGGAGGTGTTTAGTCCCAGGATCCTTAGCTTAGTGATGAGCTTTGAGGGCACTATGGTGTTGAACGCTGAGCTGTAGTCAATGAAATGCATTCTCACGTAGGTGTTCCTCTTGTCCAGGTGGGAAAGGGCAGTGTGGAGTGCAATAGAGATTGCATCATCTGTGGATATGTTGGGGCGGTATGCAAATTGGAGTGGGGCTAGGGTTTCTGGGATAATGGTGTTGATGTGAACCATGACCAGCCTTTCAAAGCACTTCATGGCTACAGACGTGAGTGCTACGGGTCGGTAGTCATTTAGGCAGGTTATCTTAGTGTCCTTGGGCACAGGGACTATGGTGGTCTGCTTGAAACATGTTGGTATTACAGACTCAGTCAGGGACATGTTGAAAATGTCAGTGAAGACACTTGCCAGTTGGTCAGCACATGCTCGGACTACACGTCCTGGTAATCCGTCTGGCCCTGCGGCCTTGTGAATGTTGACCTGCTTAAAAGTCTTACTCACATCGGCTACGGAGAGCGTGATCACATAGTCATTCGGAACAGCTGATGCTCTCATGCATGCTTCAGTGTTGCTTGCCTCGAAGCGAGCATAGAAGTGATTTAGCTCGTCTGGTAGGCTTGTGTCACTGGGCAGTTCGCGGCTGTGCTTCCCTTTGTAGTCTGTAATAGTTTTCAAGCCCTGCCACATCCGACCAGCGTCAGAGCTGGTGTAGTACAATTCAATCTTAGTCCTGTATTGACTCTTTGCCTGTTAGATGGTTCGTCTGAGGGCATAGCGGGATTTCTTATAAGCTTCCGGGTTAGAGTCCCGCTCCTTGAAAGCGGCAGCTCTACCCTTTAGCTCAGTGCGGATGTTGCCTGTAATCCATGGCTTCTGGTTGGGGTATGTACGTACGGTCACTGTGGGGACGACGTCATCGATGCACTTATTGATGAAGCCAGTGATTGATGTGGTGTACTCCTCAATGCTATCAGAAGAATTCCGGAACATATTCCAGTCTGTGGTAGCAAAACAGTCCTGTAGCATAGCATCTGCGTCACCTGACCAGATCAAAACAAAACAACATGGATGTTTTGGAGCCTGATAACTCTGAGGAGGACTTTGGGGAAAAAAGCACTTGGGTACTGAGTAGACTGATACCCCATTTCATTGATCCACAATCCTTAGGTAAGGCTGTACAGTGCAATATGAATGTCAATACGCACAATAGGCTGACTGGGGAGGTGATTTCCCACAGTCAAAGTCAGGCAATAAGAGCTACGACACTAACTCTTCACAGTTGTGTTCTGTGGGTGTCACCGAGTAGACTGATACCCCGTTTCATTGCTCCACATTCCAATATTCCAACCTTTAACATTATCTAGTCTATATATGGCATGATCCCACTAATTGTAACCTTCTGCATCATTTTCAAAGAGGGACTTTTATTTTGAAAGTGAAACGCAAATTCCACTATTGTGGCTAATCCTTATTGTGGCTAGCTTCACAACATATAACCCGGTCCGGTCAAGCCATACTAGCCAGATGAAGCTAGCTGTCTGCTTATAACGTTAGTTTTGGGCAACAGGGTTAAGTAGCTGGCTAGCTAGTTATTTCAATAGGAGAACAACAAGTGGCTACCTAGCTAATACTTACACACATGGATTCCTAAATCATTGCTAAGAATATTGAAAATGACTGCAGTTTCTACTGGTCATTGTTTTCAGGCTGTTGCATTGGTGCTTGCTAGGTACCAAGCTTAAGCTAGCTAGATACCCCAGAAGTTGCTAATAACATCTGTATCAAAGATATTTGCAAACATTTTTGATCCTGCACCTTTGATCCCGATCTAATTTCAAATGCTCCTATTTGGTCGGAACAAATAATGCCTTATTACCAATGCAGTATTGTACAGCTTTGAAAGTGATCATAATGGTGGCGCTTGGCTTGCACTTGTAAATTCAGCACACACAACATTCTATAATAGAATTGTATTTGACGTGTCAAATTAAAAGCTTATTTGACATGTCAAATAGTGTTATTTGACGTCTATCTTTTTTGACACGCAAAGACCCAAACGGCGTTCCAAAGATGAGTGCTGGAGTCTGGGTGGAGTGCTGGACTCTCTGGGCGGAGTGCTGGCTTCTCTGGGTGGACTTCTGGGCTCTGGGTTATGTGATGGTCACTCTGGGCGGAGTGTTGGCCTATCTGGGTGTGGTGTTCTTATTTGCTGGCTTCTCATAGGCTGGATGCTCCTAGTCTTTCTTCACATTTTGGCCGTGTACTTTAGCACCCTTGCAAAGACTTTTACACCCCACCAGTTTAGGTGGACATGGTCTTGCATGAGGTGAGGGTGGATGTCTTTGTGGTGTGCCAAAAATACGTTAGGCCTCAGAGCTCTGCGTTGTTTTCTAAAATGAAATTGAATGGCATATCGTAGCGCGGGAGAAGAGATGAAATTATAATTTTTGCAGATTGGTATCTCTCTGTGGCCATAATGGCTATTTCTGCCATAGCTGGGGTCACACGTCCTCTCATGTTCTTTAGGTCGTTCGTTCCAGTGTGTATTATTATTGTCTTCGCTCCTATTAAAGTGTCCTCTGAAATTATTGAGGGCACTCTAGGTTGTGGGGCACAATATTTTTCTCACCTCCATGTCAGGTAGTAGTTCTCTACCCGTAAATGTTTGCCGTTGGAGTCACAGAGAATGACTCCAATCCCAGGTTGTTCTTGGAGCGTTGGTGGGAGTGTTGGATGAGCTAGCAGAGGTGGTAAGGAGGTTGTTATTTGTTGGAGAGGGATCTGAGGGAGGAGGGTTGGTGTTGGTTGGAGAGGGATCTTCCGGAGGAGACAGGTTGGTGTTGGGTGGAGCGGGATCTCCTGGAGAACTGGTGGGGGTGAGTGGGTGGAGCACGGTGGAAGGTGGGTTGGGGTTAGTGACCCTGGGTAGCTGCTCCTTCAGTGCCTGTATGGTGTCATCTGGGTCTTCAGCTCCTTTTTTACTTCTAAAAGCTCTCTTCTCATCTCCTCCTTGATCTCCTCTACTTTTCTCATTGTCACTGTCTTCATTTCAGAGCGTTCTTCTGTCATTTCCTTTCTTTCTCTCAAATGTCAGGTTTTCTATCAACCGTCTGTGTTCATTCTTCACCTGGCAGAGTTGGTCACGCAGCTGCTCCATCTCTACATCAGTACTGGTGGAGAGCTGGTCCAGGACTTGATCTTTTAACTCTACGAGTTCTGACTCTAGCTGGGAGAGGCTACCTCTCATCTGTACCACAATGAAATTGGGTTTAGGTGATGTTTTGGGCATTCCTTTGACCATGTCCTCTCTGTCTTTGTTCACTGTCTTTGTTCATTGGGTTAATTGGAACTTGCTTGTGATGTTGTAATGTTGATCAGGTACTGGTCATTTTTTCAGTCTGTTTCCACCACAGATTTGAGTGTAAAAAAGCTGGCTACAAAGGTGTGGAGTGCAGCTTCATTCACTCCCTTGAACCATTACTGTCCCATTCAGGTATATGTTTACTGTGAGGTACCTGATCTCACTTTCTTTCACCTGGTCCTCCAAAATCTGAATCTGCCTTTTCCAATGCCCCTTTTTGTTATGTATTTTTTGTGTCTACATAGGGCAGAGTGCCATGTCATTGGGCAACTGGTAAAACACAGGAGGTTAGTTAATGTATTTTGCAAATGCACATAGTGATCAAATAATGTATCTGGGCTGACCCTTTGTTGCTTCAGTTTGTGGCACCTTTTGGAATGTTCTGATGTCACAGATGGTGGATAGACAAATGGGCATGGTGAGACTTCTACTGTTGCTGAAGGTTCCGTTGCTACTGCTCTTGCTATAGACCCAGTCGGTATTAAATAGAACTTGGCGTGGTCCTCTGTAGCTCAATTGGTAGAGCATGGAGCTTGTAACGCCAGGGTAGTGAGTTCGATCCCCGGGACCACCCATACGTAAAAATTTATGCGCACATGACTGTAAGTCGCTTTGGATAAAAGCGTCTGCTAAATGACATATTTTTATAACTTCGCAAACCTGCGCGCCTGTGGGCAAAACAACCTGTAGTTACCTAGGTTACCCAATTGGCTCACAGCAAAAACTTGACCTTTTTCAAACACAATTTTCTTGTTGTCTGCTTGTTTTAGTCAATTCGAAAACTACATTTAAGAAAAGTACAACATGTCTAAAGATTACTTTTCAACATTGCCTGCTCCCTAGCGTTCTCACTACTTAGAAAAACATAATATTGTAGAGCTTCCCTCATGCCCCTTTTCATGACTGTGCTAGCAGCCATGTGAGTGAGTGCTAGCTAGCTACCGACCGGAACATTAAGCTAGCCAAGACCAGCAACACAAATAAACAGACTATACAGCTACAAGTAGTGAGTGGAGTTACAAACGGACAGTACTAAACAAGTTAAATGTCTTACCTGTGATTAAATGTTTTCCACACACATAGCTACGTGTAGCCTAGTTGGACACCGCGTCCCAACATTTCCCACTCTGCCACGCTGAATAGGCTGAATCCATAGGGCTCTTCTCACAGGCTCTATTTCCCTATGTGGAAGCATATAGAACCATAGGTCAGGATTTTTGACCTGGCTACATGCACATTGAACAACACAGCAGCTTTTCAGCATGTTTTGTTATTTCTGTATAACAAAAAATCGACGACGAAGTTGCCTCTTTTACAATGGGGGTCAATAGGAAAGAATGTTGGTTTGTGGGCGTGGTCGAGGGGAATTCATTATTACCTGAATACCGACTGGGACTATTGCTGATAGTTCCATTGTTATTGTTTTGGTTTTTGTTGGAATTGTTCTTGTTTGAAATGTCTGTTTTAAAATCAACATGCCAGGTGCAGATTTCCTGGTAACTAAGATGGTCTACTGAGTAACCAATTTATTTACAGGTTGTTTGCAGTTGTTTACATTCAAAACAATTATTACAATGAATAAAAATAATGATATACATTTCTGCTTTAGAGTGAAGAGTCCATGTATCACCTCTCTTTCTCTGCTGTTTTCTCAACTCGTTTGTGCAAGGGGCGCTTGTTCCTTTGTATCTCAATCCTAGGGTCCTGGCCTGTGGTTGGTTCTCTTTTTCCACATTTGGTCCAGTTTGGATTGTAGTACCCCGGTTAAAAGCAGGCCACAATATGATGTGTCCTTGTTCTTGCTCTTGAAAAGCATGTCTCCCCTCTATCTGAACAGTCCATAAGGTTGAGAGCAGTAGAGAGAGTGGGAGTTCAGTGATGCGGTAGTGCTAGCTACCTTCCTGTCTTTCCCAGAAGGTTTACAGAGAGGGACTTGGAGAATTCCTCAAGAAAAGCCTGAAAGGCTTGAGTGGGGTAGAGTGGGGTGGAGTGGAATTGAATGAAATTAAATTAAATGTAACTTAACTGAATTGAATTTAAATGGATTTAACTGAACTGAACTCAACTGTATTGATTAAAATGTTGTAAATATCATTACAAACATATTAAAGTGCTGGTGCTCTGCATTAAAACTTTGTCTACACACACACACAGGTGTACGGTTTCCTGAACAGTAACTTCCAGAAGGAGTTGAAGACCCAGCTGCAGCGCTGCCACTGTGGCTTGGGGGCACCAGAGAGCTACGAGAATTTCCCGCTCTCCACCGTCGGCAGCGAGGGGAACACCAAGATGTCGATGCTGAACCGGGCAGGGTCGATGAGCACCGCGCCGCCGCCACGGTCCGAGCCCAGTGTTATAATTTGCAGCTAACGGCTAGCCGACAGAGTTAGTGGCTAATGCTAATGGTTAAGAGCTAATGGACATAATGTAGCATGTACAGCTGTCAGACAGGGTGTAAACAACAAGGGTAAAGTTCATATCAAGCAAGCAACTAACAGACAGAATGCCCCAATGGACAGAAATAACAGAGAGCAGCTAATGCTAATGGTGAGAGAGAGAAAAATTGGAACTAAGCACCTGGACTGACAGTCAAAGACAGAGCTGGTTGGCCTCAGTCTCCATGGGGATCGGTCGATTTCTGAATTCCTACAAAGCATTGCAGGTCCTGCAGAGTATACAGAATGCACTTCACTAAAAGCAAACAAACAGATCCATACAGCTAATCGACAGAGCAGCTCATGGACAGATTGCACACATGCAGCTACACTAGGTAGCAAACAGCTGGAGAGACTGCGACAGAGAGACTGACAGACCCAGGGACGCGTGGGCTCTGTTTCCATGGTGATTATATATTTCTGAGCTAATTCAGTTTGTCCCCCAGAAAAACTGTCATCACCAGAGTTTGACATCATCCTGGGGTGTTAAGCTGTTGTCAAGCCAGTCAGGCAGATGGACAGACTGTCAGTCAGTCAGACAGTCAATTCTGAACTCAGGCCTGCCTTGAGCTCTAATCAAAATCAAATCAAATTTGATTGACCGCATACACATATTTTGCAGATGTTATCACAGGTAATGTGACATGCTTATGTTTCTTGCTCCAACAGTGCAGTAATACCTAACAATGCAAAACAATACATACAAATCCCAAAAAATATATAAAGAGAGAAATTTAGAAATATCAGAGCAATGTCAAAGTCCGGAATATATATATATACTACCGTTCAAAAGTTTGGGGTCACTTAGAAATGTCCTTGTTTTCGGAAAATAATCAATTTTTTTGTCCATTAAAATAACATCAAATTGATCAGAAATACAGTGTAGACATTGTTAATGTTGTAAATGGCTATTGTAGCTGGAAACGGCTGATTTTTAATGGAATATCTACATAGGCGTAAAGAGGCCCATTATTAGCAACCATCAGTCCTGTGTTCCAATGGCACGTTGTGTTTGCTAATCCAAGTTTATCATTTTAAAAGGCTAATTGATCATTAGAAAACCCTTTTGCAATTATGTTAGCACAGCTGAAAACTGGCCTTCTTGAGACAAGTTGAGTATCTGGAGCATCAGCAATTGTGAGTTCGATTACAGAATCAAAATGTCCAGAAACAAATAACTTTCCTCTGAAACTCATCAGTCTATTCTTGTTCTGATAAATGAAGGCTATTCCATGCGAGAAATTGCCAAGAAACTGAAGATCTCGTACAACGCTGTGTACTACTCCCTTCACAGAACAGCACAAACTGGCTCAAACCAGAATAGAAAGAGGAGTAGGAGGCCCTGGTGCACAACTGAGCAAGAGGACAAATACATTAGAGTGTCTAGTTTGAGAAACAGGCGCCTCACAGGTCCTCAACTGGCAGCTTCATTAAATAGTACCTGCAAAACACCAGTCTCAACGTCAACAGTGAAGAGGTGACTCCGGGATGCTGACCTAGGCAGAGTTGCAAAGAAAAAGTCCAGTGTCTGTGTTCTTTTGCCCATCTTAATCTTTTCTTTTTATTGGCCAGTCTGAGATATGGCTTTTTCTTTGCTACTCTGCCTAGGTCAGCATCCCGGAATCGTTTCTTCACTGTTGACGTTGAGACTGGTGTTTTGCGGAAAAACAAATGATAGTCCCATTAAACCTAAACCAGATGGGATGGCGTATCGCTGCAGAATGCTCTGGTAGCCATGCTGGTTAAGTGTGCCTTGAATTCTAAATAAATCACAGAGAGTGTCACCAGCAAAGCACCCCCACATCATAACACCTCCTCCTCCATTCTTTACGGTGGGAACTACACATGCGGAGATCATCCGTTCACCCACACTGCGTCTCACAAAGACACGGCAGTTGGAACCAAAAATCTCAAATTTGGACTCCAGACCAAAGGACACATTTCCACCGGTCTAATGTCCATTGCTCGTGTTTCTTGGCCCAATCAGGTCTTTTCTTCTTATTGGTGTCCTTTAGTAGTGAGTGGTGTCTTTGCAGCAATTCGACCATGAAGGCCTGATTCACACAGTCCCCTCTTAACAGTTGATGTTGAGATGTGTCTGTGACTAAAAGTCAAAGTTGTAAATGAGAACTTGTTCTCAACTGGCTTACCTGGTTAAATAAAGGTTAAATAAATAAAATTAAAAATATATACAGTTGAAGTCGGAAGTTTACATACACCTTAGCCAAATACATTTAAACTCAGTTTTTCACAATTTCTGACATTTAATCCTAGTAAAAATTCCCTGTTTTAGGTCAGTTAGGAACATCACTTTATTTTAAGAATGTGAAATGTCAGAATAATAGTAGAGATAATGATTTATTTAAGCTTTTATTTCTGTCATCACATTCCCAGTGGGTCAGAAGTGTGCATACACTCAATTAGTATTTGGTAGCATTGCCTTTAAATTGTTTCACTTGGGTCAAACGTTTCGGGTAGCCTTCCACAAGCTTCCCACAATAAGTTGGGTGAATTTTGGCCCATTCCTCCTTACAGAGCTGGTGTAACTGAGTCAGGTTTGTAGGCCTCCTTGCTCGCACACGCTTTTTCAGTTCTGCCCACAAATGTTCTATAGGATTGAGGTCAGGGCTTTGTGATGGCCACTCCAATACCTTGACTTTGTTGTCCTTAAGCCATTTTGTCACAACTTTGGAAGTATGCTTGGGGTCATTGTCCATTTGGAAGACCCACATTTGCGACCAAGCTTTAACTTCCTGACTGATGTCTTGAGATGTTGCTTCAATATATCCACATCATTTTCCTTTCTCATGATGCCATCTATTTTGTGATGTGCACCAGTCCCTCCTGCAGCAAAGCACCCCCACAGCATGATGCTGCCACCCCCGTGCTTCACGGTTGGGATGGTGTTCTTCTGCTTGCAAGTGTCCCCCTTTTTCCTCCAAACATAACGATGGTCATTATGGCCAATCAGTTCTATTTTTGTTTCATCAGACCAGAGGACATTTCTCCAAAAAGTACGATCTTTGTCCCCATGTGCAGTTGCAAACCGTAGTCTGGCTTTTTTATGGCGGTTTTGGAGCAATGGCTTCTTCCTTGCTGAGCGGCCTTTCAGGTTATGTCGATATAGGACTTGTTTTACTGTGGATATAGGTACTTTTATACCTGTTTCCTCCAGCATCTTCACAAGGTCCTTTGCTGTTGTTCTGGGATTGATTTGCACTTTTCACACCAAAGTGCGTTCATCTCTAGGAGACAGAACGCGTCTCCTTCCTGAGTGGTATGACGGCTGCGTGGTCCCATGGTGTTTATACCTGCGTAGTATTGTTTGTAAAGATGAACGTGGTACCTTCAGGCGTTTGGAAATTGTTCCCAAGGATGAACCAGACTTGTGGAGGTCTTTTCTGAGGTCTTGGCTGATTTCTTTTGATTTTCCCATGATGTCAAGCAAAGAGGCACTGAGTTTGAAGGTAGGCCTTGAAATACATCCACAGGTACACCTCCAATTGACTCAAATGATGTCAATTAGCCTATCAGAAGCCATGACATCATTTTCTGGAATTTTCCAAGCTGTTTAAAGGCACAGTCAGCTTAGTGTATGTAAACTTCTGACCCACTGGAATTGTGATACAGTGAATTATAAGTGAAATAATCTGTCTGTAAACAATTGTTGGAAAAATTACTTGTGTCATGCACAAAGTAGATGTCCTAACCGACTTGCCAAAACTATAGTTTGTTAACAAAAAATGTGTGGAGTGGTTAAAAAACGAGTTTTAATGACTCCAACCTAAGTGTATGTAAACTTCCGACTTCAACTGCTTATATATGTAATTTATATATATATAATGGTGTATATAGACCTTATGGACAGTATATGAACAGTATATGAATAGAAAAGGTCTGTACAGCAGTAGTTATATAGGATGAGCCTTGACTGGAATACAGTATACATATGAAGTGGGTAAGACAGTATGTAAATATTATTGACCAGTGTTCAGTGACTATGTACATAGGGCAGCAGTCTCTAAAGTGCAGGGTAGACTACCGGGTGGCTCTAAATGGTGTATCTGTAGAAGTTTGTGAAGGTCTTAAGGGCCAAGCAGAATTTCTTCAGCCTCCTGAGGTTGAAGAGGCACTGTTTCACCACGCTGTCTGTGTGAAGGGACCATTTCAGGTTGTCAGTGAAATGCACGCCATGGAACTTGAAGCTGATATAATAGCTGTCTCTCTAACATCAGAATAACCCTGTTGGCACTGACAGCCCTTCCTCTCAGTCACTGTCTCTCTGTGACAACAGTAGAAACATCTATATGCTATTCACGAATGAGAGATCAGTCTCAGATACGCTGATACCTCTAACTGTCTGAGAGAGAGAGAGAGAGAGAGAGAGAGAGAGAGAGAGAGAGAGAGAGAGAGAGATTGATAACGAGAGAGGGAGAGAGAGAGAGAGAGAGAGAGAGAGAGAGAGAGAGAGAGAGATTGATAACGAGAGAGAGGGAGAGAGAGAGAGGGATAGATTGATAATGAGAGAGAGAGAGGGATAGATTGATAACGAGAGAGAGAGAGGGATAGATTGATAACGAGAGAGAGAGAGGGATAGATTGATAACGAGAGAGAGAGAGGGATAGATTGATAATGAGAGAGAGAGACAGACAGACAGACAGTGAGAGACAGACAGACAGACAGACAGACAGACAGTGAGAGACAGACAGACAGTGAGAGACAGACAGACAGACAGACAGACAGACAGACAGACAGACAGACAGACAGACAGTGAGAGACAGACAGACAGACAGACAGACAGACAGACAGACAGACAGACAGTGAGAGACAGACAGACAGACAGACAGACAGTGAGAGACAGACAGAGAGATAGAGAGAGAGAGAGAGAGAGAGAGAGAGAGAGAGAGAGAGAGAGAGAGAGAGAGAGAGAGAGAGAGAGAGAGAGAGAGAGAGAGACAGACAGACAGAGAGAGCGAGAGACCAAGAACGAGACAGAGAGCGAGAGAGAGGAATAAGGACACTGTGCAGTTAAGGTTGGTGCTGGGGTTCTGGGTGTCCAGCAGTGAGCCAGGGGCTAGAGGGTGACTGACAGCTGTGTCTGGCTGAGAGGCTGGAAGAGAGAGGGAGTCCCTGGTGCTGCTGACGCATTGCAGACAGATCACAGACACACAGAGCAGGCTGACTGGACTGGCTGTCTGATTTACTGGCTGTCTGGCTGGCTGAGGGACTGGCTGGTCTATTGTATATCTGTCTGGGTGGCCGACTGGCTGGCTGGCATGTTGGCTGGCTGGGTTGTCTAATATTTACTGTATCTGTCTGGATGGCTGACTGGTAGGCTGTCTGGCTGGTTGGCTATCTGGTTGGCTGATCTAATGTATATATGTTTGGGTGGCTGACTGGCTGGCTGGCAGTCTGTCTGACTGGTTGGCTGTCTGGCTGGCCTACTGTATATCTTCGTCATGAATCCACATCAACTTTATGATTGTACAAACGGTGGAAATGATGTAAACCAAATTATATATATCTCATATCCGATTTTTATATTTAAAAAGTACAAAATTATCCAGAAGTAAATATTCATTGTGGTTCCTGAGGCAGATTCTTCTTCTTCTTCTTCTTCTTCTTCTTCTTCTTCTTCTTCTTCTTCTTCTTCTTCTTCTTCTTCTTCTTCTTCTTCTTCTTCTTCTTCTTCTTCTTCTTCTTCTTCTTCTTCTTCTTCTTCTTCTGTGTTCTGCTTGTGTTGAAACTGTAAAGACTCTGACATCCCACTTGATTTTGTGCATCTGTAATTTCAGATATGGAGTGTTTTTGTTTTAAATTTGGCTGATTTTAATGGTCCAACCCTATCCCTCATGTATGAAATTAGCATTAGCTAATTAGCAGTGGTGTGTGTTGTGTTTTGGTGTGTGTGTGTGTGTGTATGTGTGTGTGCAGACCCTCTTAGCTGTGTGTTCAGGATATAATCACCTCAGCCCCTTCTCATTGGCTCCTGCCCCCAGGCAGTGAGGCCTGATTGGCTCTTAGCCCCTGGCAGTTTCCTGCTTAACTAGAGCCAATCATGTGTCAAAATGTATGCTGCTACATGCTGATGTGTTAGCTTGGGTATGTCCAGAAACAACCCTGGGCCCTGAGTGCTGAACTACAACAGTAGCTTAGTGCAGATATTAACTCACCACTGAAGTAGGAGTGCTACACAGAGGGACACATCATGTTGACTATGTTACAGTCTATCTGGTCATGCTATTGATGCTCAATACTCCTAGATCACATACTCATATAGCTCCAATACTCTTTAATGTCATGGTGATTGGGCTTTGAGGATAACATATAGGAATCTGAATGTATGAAGAGAGTCTAAGTCTTCACAGAGAGTTAGAATGATGAAAAAACGATACTACTGTAAAGCAGTGGTGGAAAAAGTATGCATTTGTCATACTTGAGTAAAAGTAAAAAGTAAAAGTAAATGCTATACATCAAATTCCTTTTATTAAGCAAACCAGACATCACAGGGTTTTTTTCGTACAGACAGGGGCACACTCCAATACAGACATTTATAAATGCAGTATTTGTGTTTAGGGAGTCCGACACATCAGAGTCAGTAGGGATGACAATGGGTTATATTGGTAGGTGTGTGAGATGGACCATATTTCTGTCCTGCCTGAGCATTGGAAATGTAAGGGAGTGAACATTATTTATAATAAGGGTTACATGGAGAAAATCTGACCTCTGAACTGAAAATGGATGGCCCTCCCTTCAGCAAAATATATTTGACCTAAACCCTCCTTGAACGCTTGAAAAAAAATGACCTTCCCCTATACCCAAAATAATAATTAAACAATGTGGATAACAGAGAACATGTCTACCTTTTACCCTCACTTCATGGACAGACCAGAGCCTTAGATATGCAGTTTTCAGTTTTCAGTTTTCGTCTTGTAAGCATTACATTGCAACAAATATGTTTTGACAGTGGTGGAAAAAGTACCCAATCATTTACAAAACATGCATTTATGTTTAGTGAGTCTGCCAGATCAGAGGCAGCAGGGATGACCATGTGCTCTCTTGATAAATCCCTGAATTGGACCCTTTTTCTGTCCTGCTAAGCATTCAAAATGTAACGAGTACTTTTGGGTGTCAGGCAAAATGTTTTCTTTAGAAATGTAGTGAAGTAAAAGTAAAAGTAGTCCAAAATATAAATAGTAAAGTACAGTACAGATACCCCAAAAAACTACCTAAGTAGTACTTTAAAGTATTTTTACTTAAGTACTTTACTTTACTGCGTTTTGATAGCATATAGGGCTGCGGGCCAGAAGGTTGTGGTTTGCAGACATCCGTGGACAAGAGTAGAGGTGGAAAGATCTCCTTTATAGTAAAATCATTGCATGAATCTGTCATTGTATTTGCAGTTCCAATAAAAAATATCCTTTTATAAACATTTCATGCAATTCTACATAATTTTACATATTAGCAGAATCTTTTTTTAATGCCACACACATTACCGAAATTATAGGCTAAGAATGGACAGAGCGATAGGCCTATGTGTTCATCTTCTCATATTCCTCCAATGCCAAATCATGTTAGTCTTGTTTGCAACGAAACTGTCCCTGTATGCAAATAATTAAATTTGAGACTTCATTAGGAATCTGAGCATGGTACTTTCAAAAGCTAGGCCTACCTTTCCACCCCAGTGGAAACCCAACGAGAGAAGGTCACAACACAAGTGTTAACCTAAAAGCTGCCTGGGTTTAAACATCTTCTATTGTACAGAAAGTGAATAGATTAATCAATTGATAGTGACAGAATTAGATTACTTCCCAAGCGGTCTATTTTTTGTCTCCTCAGCTATATAAGGTTGTAGCTCAGCCTCTGAATGTCAAAGAATTGAAACAATGATATTCCCATATGCATCGGAATCACGTCTTTCCCGGGTATTTTACAGCTTGTTTCTAGCATAAAGCATCGCGAACCTAAGCGTTGTTATAGATTACTTTATATAATCGGATCCGTTTTATTTTCTTCAAAATCTTAAACTAACAAGGGGTAGGCCTATGGCATACCCTCTCATACCCCCTCAATTCGAGTCTTGGTTCTAATTTAACAGCTCTTCACTGACATGAAGGTTGGCTATTTAAAGAGTGCATGGTGGGTGGAGGAATTGACTGACAAATCTATGGATATAGCAGCCTATAGCCTAATTTCGTCTGTCAAACAGGTAGGCCTACCTCTTATTTCTTAAATAGGAATACATAGGCTCCAACACAAAGCCCTCTTGTTGTTAGTAAATTCAGTGGTGTAAAGTACTAATGTAAAAAATAATTTTAAGTACTATTCAAGTAGTTTTTGGGGGGTATCTGTACTTTTTGACAACTTTTACTTTTACTCCACTACATTTCTAAAGAAAATAATGTACTTTTTACTCCATACATTTTCCCTGACACCTAAACGTACTCGTTACATTTAGAATGCTCAGGCAGGACAGAATTATGGCACCTATCAATATAACTCTTTGTCATCCCTAATGCCTCTGATCTGGTGGACTCACGAAACACAAAAACTGTGTTTGTAAATTATGTCTGAGTGTTGGAGTGTGCCCCTGTCTGTCCGTAATTTAAAATTATAAGAATATTGTGCCATCTGGTTTGACAAGTATGACAATTGAGTACTTTTTCTACCACTGTACTTAGGTACATTTAAAACCAGATACTTTTAGACTTTTACTCAAGTAGTATTTTGCTGGGTAACTTCCACTTTTACTTGAGTCATTTTCTGTTAAGGTATCTTTACTTTTACTCAAGTATGACAATTGAGTACTTTTTCCACCACTGAGTAAATTCCAATTAAAAGGAAGACGGTTTAAATGAATTATGCCTACTCGAATTTGCCGACTTTCAGCGCCATGAGCTGTCCATTTCCGATCGATTGTGCCGCTGCTGCTGTTTCAGCACCACAATGTAAATTACTCAAATCTGGCTTATTGTGAGAATCTACATCATTGGCAAGAAACATATTGTTTTTAATTAAATTAATTATAGTAGTAGCAAGCTATCAAAGTTGACCTGTCCTCCTTCTCATCTTCGCGCTCTCATTCTCAAACTGAACAGAACACATGCTATAGGCTAGTCGGAAGAAGCCTTTCACTCTCCTGAACTGCCATCATAGTCCTACACAGCACAGCCATTAGTTAGGCAGTACACAAAAAAGGGTTTGATCAGCAAGAGCAGAGCATTGTTGGAATATCCATTGCAGTTTGTAATGCAGCCTAGTTGTATTTACACCATCCCAGCAGCTATCTTAGAAATATAACTTTGCTCTGTGCTTCTCCGAGCATGCACTTCGTAGCCTATAGCCTAGGCTATGGATCATTTACTGCTGTAAAAATACTTACCTAAATACTACCTAGAAATACTGCGTTGAGAAATATGGTACTGAGAAACGGCGCATGCTTAAACTGAAGTGCTGTCGAAATTAGAAATCTGGAATTGAAATTCATTGTTCAGAATATATATCATTATAGTGTATGCACTTCCAGCAAACTTCACAGAGTCAGAGTACAAAACATGCCATGGAAAATAAACACTACACACAGGCGAACACACACACACACACACACACACACACACACACACACACACACACACAAACACATACAGAAGATATGACTGCTCTCACCAGCTGTTCAACTCCCATGGGAGGGTGTTTAGTGCCCCAAAACATCACAACAACTCGACATGACAAATTTGACCCGACATCTCTGGATGATTTCCTTGCCAGGAAGATACTGTTTAAACCCTAAACTCCAAGGGCTAAACACACACACAGTCACACACAGTCACACACAGTCACACACAGTCACACACAGTCACACACTGACACACAGTCACACACAGTCACACACTGACACACAGTCACACACTGACACACACTGACACACAGTCACACAGTCACACACAGTCACACACTGACACACAGTCACACACAGTCACACACTGACACACAGTCACACACAGTCACACAGTCACACACAGTCACACAGTCACACACTGACACACAGTCACACAGTCACACACAGTCACACACTGACACACATTCACACAGTCACACACAGTCACACAGTCACACAGTCACACACTGACACACAGTCACACACTGACACACAGTCACACAGTCACACACTGACACACACTGACACAGTCACACTGACACACACTGACACACAGTCACACGCTGACACACACTGACACAGTCACACTGAAACACACTGACACACAGTCACACACTGACACACAGTCACACAGTCACACACTGACACATACTGACACACAGTCACACACTGACACACAGTCACACACTGACACACACTGACACACAGTCACACTGACACACACTGACACACAGTCACACGCTGTCACACACTGACACACAGTCACACTGAAACACACTGACACACACTCACACACTGACACACAGTCACACAGTCACACACTGACACATACTGACACACAGTCACACACTGACACACAGTCACACACTGACACACACTGACACACAGTCACACTGACACACACTGACACACAGTCACACACTGACACACAGTCACACAGTCACACACTGACACATACTGACATACAGTCACACACTGACACACAGTCACACACGCAGCCATTTTACAGCAGAAAGCTCAGCCATCTCAGCTAGGTGATGACAGAATCAGGGTTTATGTCTGTTTTTGTTTCCAATTATTTGTGAAAAGAAGAG